TATATATATATATATATATGCATGTTTGTGCTTTGTAGTAAAATATATAAACATGTTAAAAAATGAAAACACAGAAAAAATTGTATGTATACAAAACTAACATTTACGACAACAAAATCTCATTTACATTCTGTACCTTAATCCTAGTGCCATTTTGCTCACTTAAGGCAATATTTTGGTAGCTGGCAACAAAGGACTTAATCTGTAATTGAGGAAGGACATGAAACATCTAAAAAATGTTATTGTATGTCTTAAGGAACAATATGAATAAGTCAGGTTTGTGCTTTTCCAGTTCCCCACAACCTATACAAACATGGTCTCCCTAAGAACTCCCAAGACCCAGTGGAGTATTGAAATATTCAAGAAATAGAATAAGATAATTTGATCTGTAGAACATAAAACGACATGTTGCTCATATTATATCTATACCTAGCTTTCAGTTTGAGAATAATATGAATGAGTTGCAATCTGCCTTCCTACCAGACCAGACATAATACACGTAAATAGAGGTACAGCCCGGGTATTTAGAAGTGACAGTCCTCCGACGCAGAGTAGGAGAAGTATTGGTAGTGGCGGGGAGAGCTCCAGCATGCTGACAGGTGTGGAGGGGAATGCAGTACAGGCGTTCCCAAAAGAAATAATTTCTTACCTCATTGTGTTGCATAGTGTTGGCGGTTTATTCTCGATGATGTTCACACATGCGATGTTAAGTTTTAAGTGCCGAATGGCAGACTATTATGTACTATACACTATTATACACTTCTCACTGTTATATACATGAAGAGTTTATTTACATATTACCCAGGTCTATTCTGAAGGGGCAAAACCGGTAATGACCACACAGATATCATCTCCACATGACTGTCCTTCTTTGTCACCACCAAATGAATCGGAGCTATCATCAGAACTGTTATGACTATCAACGCCAACATGGAAGACGAACTCCTGTCCTGGGTCCAAAAGGCCTTTCCGTGCCATTAATTGTTGCTCAATGTTCCTTACATGTTGGCACCTACGTTGCCATTCTTCTGCAGTTATGGAAGCCAATTTTTGATCTGCCAGTTTAATGACATCATCCATCTTAAGTGTGGTATTGTTTTGAGCAACCCAATTTTTTACAGTGGCCCATATTAACTCAATTGGGTTGAGTTCTGGGTGATACCGAGGGAGTCGTAAAATACTGTGATTGTGTTCTGCAAAAATTCCATCTATTTTACAGGAGAGGTATTTCAGTTTGAGTGGTAGGATCATATTATGTGTCTGGATTCCGCAATGATGAAAAATCAGTGTTATTGAAGGTAATATGTGGAAGGTGATTCTTTAGCCAGGATATCATAAAATCTCTTCTTGAATTTGAGTTAGGGGCTCTGTTTAGTTGTACATTATGGTAGGGAGCTTTATCAATGACAAGGACAAAATTTGGGGGAAGGTTAAGAATAAGTTGCTCCTTTAACCATTTTTCATAATTGGTGTAGTTCATGTCACTGTAGTAGTCTCCTCCCAGCCTCTTTCATATACTTATATACATTACTAACGATTTCTCTTGATTGTGAATGCAACACTTTTCCACTCAATTTACTTTGTGTAGGTGGCATGTTAAAGGAGAGAGAAAAAATGTACAAATATAAATAAACAAAAAAAAATATCAACGAATAAAAATAAACAATAAAATAAAATATTAATACAGTATATAGAGAATAATACACTCAAATATGACTCCAAGAAAACTTGACTGTACAAGTATGAATGCTTTTAACTGAACTTGAGATGTCTGCTCACACTGAAAACAAATAACTAATCACAGCACCCCTCAACTTTCACGATGGACCTGCCCATCCACTGCGCAGCTTTTCCTGGACTGTCACTTCTAAATACCCGGGCTGCACCCATTAAATATTACTATCATTATGTTATGCCCAGATACCAAAACTAGATAATACTGCACACATACCAAAGGGCCTCCAAACATTTTAACCACTTCATACATGTATAAAAGCAAGAAAACTGTCGCCATGTGTCTGCAAAAACACTATAACATAACATTATGTTTGCAACAACCTACCTTAATAGGACATACTATATGTATAGTTCTTAATTATATTTTAATTATGTAACTTATCTCATTTAAAATCTTTATCTTTTATTGTATTTTATGTTTTGTATTATTATATTATGATATATTGTCAAAAATCCAACACTGCACTGAATTATATTGTATGCAATTCAATAGCTTATGAACACATTAATTATGAATTAATTAATTACGAATTTGCCTGATGATGGCTTTCTAAAAAGTCGAAACATGTAGCAAAATATCGTTAAACATCAACTCTTTTGTTGGTGTGTTATGATGGATTTTAATAAAGAAATTTATGTTCAATAATTAATTTAGCAATCTTTATTTATTATGCTTTAAGGATGTGAAGGAAATTAAGTCATAAGTGTACCAAAACCTGTTACAGAAATACATCTTACCTCATGGAAATCAGAGTTCATATTTTCTGAATTGCTTAGCTCAGTGACTTCTGGATCATGTGTCTTGCCTTCATGTACTACCACTCTCTCTTCTTCAATTAAATTTTCTGTTGGCATATATCCTTCAGATTCACTAATAAATTCTGCTTTTCCACACATGCCATTCAAATGATCAGCAAGCTGGAGAATGCTATCAAACCGCTGACTGCATTCAGGGCAGTACACATTATCTGTGACACTCAACAAATGATATCTGAGTGACAGCTGGTTTGAAAATTTTTCATTACAACACAAGGGACAGACCAAAGTTCCCATGTTGGTAAAAAAGATTGCTGTGAGACAGGTCTGAAAGACAAATCACCAGCAATTCTAGCATAAAAGTGTTTTTAATAACACTGAAAAGTATATCAATAAATAAGAGTGACTGATAAATTAAACTTGATGTCTTATACTTAACTGAACAGCCATGTGAAACACACTACAAGATATATACCACAGTTGTGACTTACTTTTGTAAGAAGTTGTAAGTGTTCTTTATGTCATCGCGTGTTTATTATATAACTATCATACACTAACCTAATAATTTATCATAGATGATCCTGAATTTACAAACTGAAGAAACGCAGAAAAACAATCCTGCATCCTTGCGCGCTATTGTTGAATCAGTTCATTCATTCATTCTTTTATTAATCCTGTAGATTAACACTTTCAAAAACGTTCGGTGTATAATGAACAGAAAGTAGCAAAAGTGTCACCATGTACTTAAATTCCCACCTCTTATGAGCCACTCACACTATCCATCAACTTTCTTAAACATTATGCCACATTATAAACATCATGTAACATATATTGGCATCCCTGCATGTACTAAAACAAAACAAATACGTAAGGCGCTATTAATCGCAAAATTTAGCCTTTGTGAACTCAATAGATGGCAGTGTTATAAGCATTAAGTGTGTGCTGCCATCTTTCACAAGCTGTGAAAAGTACTATGTTCACTGCCCTAACTGCCTCCAGTGCATTACAATACTTCGCGATCAATGTTACAAATGCTATATGTCATGGGTACGGCTAGGATTTTCGTTTTTCTGGGAGATTGCAGCTAGGGACTTGCCTACAGACTTACACTGAAGCAGTTGAACAATTTTGCTGATTGTCCTAAGATAATCAAAAAAGAATATAATTTTAGGTATTAATATCTCGTATATTTCCTTCTTTCTTTTTAACTTTCAATTCTTTCTAAAAATGCCGGGTGAGGGGGAGGATGCCTCTCTTGCGGGATGTCAATAACAGGAACATTAATGAACACGTTTTGTAAATTGCTCTTTATTATATAAATATCACTAAATATTGATCATAAGACAACAATGTAATCTGAATTAAATCTGATCGCCATATTATATCACATCAATTAATTCTATATATCAAAACTTTTTAGAATTTGATAGTCATTCGACACCATTACCTTGGTCATCCGCCAGTCTACGAATACTATACATAGGGCCAGAGAGATGCTGTCTGGCACCCTCACATACTTTTCCTTACGGTTCATTTTAATATTATTCTTCTCATGTCTGCATAGTATAAATTTACCACTGTTGAATGAGCATCACCAGTGGCCCACCGTCAAAGCCTAAAATCGGCAGTTTGTGCAGTGTTCTTTTATCAATGTTTCCTACACTGGTGAGAACGATAAATTTAAGATTGTGCTGCCAGTTATCTTTTTGTAGCATGAAATTAAACAATAATTGTAAATATCACCAATTAGATGACAGCAGCATTTACATTTTAACATATTGTTTTCCGTCGAACGGCATTACAGGTAACCGACTGGTATCCGACTTGCCATCTTTTATTACATTATCATAATGTAATTACACCTGTAGTTAATAGATGGCAGAAGCTTACCTATATACCGCCATCAGAGTTGCAAGTCCTTTTGATTATTTTGAAAAATAAATGTATGTACATAACTACCTAGGCAATGCACATCCGGACCTCTGTAGCACAGACTTATAAACATCTTATTCCGTTATAGCGGTCTCCCCGCGATTTTTTAATATATTTCTTAACGTAAGCATGACAGTTTACTGTACCGTTACTTCTTTTTCTTTTTCTTTACTTGTGCAATTGTACTCTTGCTGACAATTTGGGCACAATTCCGGCCTAGTTGCAAAAATCATGTCATAGATGGCAGAATTACGAACTTTTATCTGGTGTGAAACGACACCCCCACCAATGTGTACTTGTACTGCCATCTCTTAGAGGTACATTCATTAATGTTTCTCATAGATGGCAGTAATATTCACATCTGTTAAATATAACCTCAAATCTCACATGTTAAGTATAATGTTCTTCACGTTTAGAGGAAACGTACAAAGCTGCAATCTTCTATTGGTGGCCCTAATTAAACTAACGTGATGGAACTGAGCCCTTCTCGAGAAGCAGCCAGTTGTGCAGCTACTCGAGAACTTCCCAAGAATTATAAAACACCCCATGTTTCGTTACCGCCTTAACAAGAGCCTTCCACTGGTCCCTATTCTGAACCTGATCAATCCAGTCCATACCTCCCCATCCTATCTAAGGTTCATTTTAATATTATTCACCCACCTACATCTTGGTCTTCTTAGTGGTATCTTTCCTTCTGGTTATTCAACCAAATTTTTATATGTATTCGTCTTCCCCGTTTGTGCTACATGCACTGCCAATCTCATCTGCCTTCACTTCGTCATTCTAATTATACATGGTGAAGGGTACAAGTTATGAAGCTCTTCATTGTACAGTTTTCTCCGACCTCTTGTCACTTCACCTCTCTTCGGTCCAAATTTTCCCCTCTGCACTCTGTCCCCTAACACCCTCCGTTTATGTTACTACCTAAAAATCAGAGGCCAAGTTCCACGCTCAAACACCTCAAACAGAACCACAGAAAAAATTATAGTTCTGTATATCCCCATTTTTACATTTTTGGGCAGCAGACGAGAAGATAAAAAGTTCTGGACTGAATGGTAGCAAGCATTACTCAAATACAGCCTCCTCTTAATTTCCTCCTGAATCAAATTTCGATTTATTACTGTCGTACCCAAAACACTACAAAATATTACAGCCAGTTTTATCGCCCTTCTTGTAAATTGGTACAATAACAGACTCCTTCCATTGCTCACGCAATTCTTTCTTATTCGCCTGCTACTTGAATTAGTTCTGCCGAAATTTTATCCCTAGCTGTCAACTTTGCGATAGCTATTTTAACCCCAAAACGAGTATGATCACATACTAACGGTTCAGCTGTATGTATGTCTATTTGCCTAGCATCACTAACCCTATGTATATTCAATAACTGCGAGAAGGAGCAACAAGGGAAAATTTCATACAATACGTACTATTATTGCTTGTATCTTTCCAGAGCACATATGTACACGTTTCATAACAGATGGCAGTACATATGTAAGTATACTTCACATGTTTAAGGAGACATCTACAGCTAAATTTTTTATTTTTTGCTGCAACCATTGTAGAGGGCAGTGAAATCAGTGTTTGTTGGTGCCGCCATCGTCTGCATTGTGGCTATCGTGCCAAGTAAATGGCGGGAGTTCATAAAATCGAATAAGATCGTGGTATATAACTATTATATTTGTTACATACAATGTTTTATGTTCCAGCACGCACTCAGTCGGACAGTAAAGAAGTAAATTTGTGTTATTTGTTAAAATGTGTGTTCAGAGAGCAATTCTGATAGTGATTCATTATACCTGTGAATATGCTGCCTAGCTATGGATAGGATGACCAGACTTAGATTTTCTGCTGGTGAAGTAACTTGGCTCCTCACCACATTGCCTAAATCACCTCTGGGCCCACCTATCTAATGTCTACCAGGGGATCTCTCCCCATGGTCAAAAAGTGAAGGTGACAGACAAGTTATAATCTTGTGTCAAAGTCAAGATTATGTGGTGCTTGGGCATAGACACAACTTCTCACCATTTCACAGTTAACTCAGTGAACATTCTACTGTGAAATACATCGAACTTCCCAGTGTGTTGATCATATATGCTACAATACAGTGACAATGGACTCTTAGCACTTTGGTCAAGTAAGTGTATTTGTCATATAACTAAGTAACTAACTTCATGCAGCTGAGCCCTTCTTGAGAAGCCGCTAGATGTGCTGCTACTTAAGAGGTTCGCAACATTTTATGGAAGGTTCATTACCGTGTTCACAAAGGCCTTCCAATAGTCCCTCTCCTAAGCCAGATCAATCCAGTCCACAACACCCCATTCTGTCTCTCTAAGATCCATTTTAATATTGTCCACCCACCTGCCTCATGATCCTCCTTTCCTTCTGCTTTTGCCACCAATATCCTATATGCATTCTTCTTTGCCCTCATTTATGGTATTACTGTCACATGCAATCCCCAAACAATCTCTCTTTCTTTGGTAGGTACATCGTTTTTAATTATGTGGTAATATTTAATTTTGATTTAATTACTGTAACTTGTTAGTGTGAACAAACTGTTTCAATTTCAATTACATTCCAATAGTCATTTTTCATAAGAACTTTATGAAACAGCATTCTTTTCTTTCTGCAAAAGTGGGAAAGTGTTAAGTCCATAGTCATGAGTGTCAGCAGGGTGGATATGACAATCATCTCCCACCACCGGATTTTAGGTAAAAAGTCGAAATTGAAAAAAGAAAATGTGCTAAATATTATTCCTTTATCCTGAATACCCTAAGGTGATCAGTAACCATTAACTTATATAGCTTATAGTAAGTAAGTAAGTAATTTTCTTTAGGGCCATACAATAGCTCAAGTGGTTAATCACTGGCTTCCCACCCCAGCGTCCCGGGTTTGATCCCGGGTGTGGTCAAGTGGGATTTGTCGTGGACAAAGTATCGCTGGGGCAGGTTTTCTCTGAGTACTTCAGTTTCCCCTGCCATTCTTCATTCCACCAATTGCTCCACAATCACCCTCACCTATCATCTGGGGCTGGTACAATAGGCCAGAAGTGGACGCAGTGCAAGGGACTTAGTCCCACCCCACTAGCAATTAAAAAAAAGTAATTTTCTGCTTGTCCCTCACCCTTGACAAAAAAGAAAAATAATGGTGCCTGTTCCTGCAGTAGCAGGCAACTTCCTTTATAAAACTAATTCTAATGGTAGTGTGAAATCTGTACATGTTCCTCTGATGTGATGGCACAGGGCAGCCCTTTTTGAGAAATTAATAGTTGCTCTTCTAATTAAGAAAATCAACACATTTTATGGCACTCAACTTACTGCTGTGTTTACAACAGCCTGTTACTACACAAAATTGTGAGCACAATAAACTGTCTGTCACTGAACTTCATTCCTCTAAGATCCATTTCATATCATCCTGGTTGCAATCAAGGCTTTATAGATCACTGTGGTCGCAGTGCAAGGACCAAGAGGGCCCACCCCTTATACAGTCATGCAACTGAGTCTACAAAATGGTCTCTTCTCTTCCAGTTTCCTAACCAAAATTTTTATATATTTCTCATCATCATCATCATCATCAGTAATCTGTCAAGATGACAGGTCCACAGTCTCTTTCAAAACAATTCCTCCACTTAATGCGATCTAGAGCTTTCTCCTTCAAATGACAGTATCCTCTTCTGTCCCCAAGGTCATCCAGCATCTTCTTACGTCTTCTTCCTCGTCTTCTTGTCACTTCTATCCGCCCATCTATCTTTCCTTCGATAGCTTCTTTTAGAAGGCAGTTTCTGCGTAAAACATGACCAATCCAATTAGCCTTCCGTTTTCTTATTTCATGTAGGATATTCCTC